CCTAATAACCCTAATAACCCTAAACCCTAAACCCTAAACCCTCAACCCTAAACCCTAAACCCTAATAACCCTAATAACCCTAAACCCTAAACCCTAAACCCTAAACCCTAAACCCTAAACCCTAATAACCCTAATAACCCTAATAACCCTAAGCCCTAAGCCCTAAGCCCTAAGCCCTAAGCCCTAAGCCCTAGACCTGCCATTATAGGGCACGGGCCGCCTTAAGTTCTGAGACCCGCAACGACTGCCTGGTGCTTAGTAGGGAATGGGGGAATGGGTTATAGGGACTACTATAAGGGACCTTACAGGACTAGGGTTTAGGGTTACAGGGACTACTATAAGGGATCTTAAGGGTTTAGGGTTTAGGGTTTAGGGTTTAGGGTTTAGGGACTACTATAAGGGATCTTAAGGGTTTAGGGTTTAGGGTTTAGGGTTTAGGGTTTAGGGACTACTATAAGGGACCTTAAGGGACTATCATAGGGATCCATTCCCCCATTCCCTACTAAGCACCAGACAGACGATAGGCCCTGGGCTTCCTTTCGAAACAGCTTCCAGCGCTGGCTTCGACCCAGCAGCAGGCAGAGAGGGTTTAGGGTTTATGAGTTTAGGGTTTAGGGTTTAGGGTTTAGGGTTTATGAGTTTAGGGTTTAGGGTTTAGGCAAAGTTGGGTTTAGGTTTCGGGGTTGGAGGCTGGGTTGAGGGTTGACGGTATAGGCATACCGGTTAGAGGTTAGGCTTTGTATGTGCGTGGGGTCTGTTTCAGAATGAAAACATATGTATCTTCAGGCTTGGTATACATCCATGGGAATCGTGGGCTTTAAGGTTTACGGCCCATGCAAAACCTGCGCCTGTTTTCTGAAAAAAATCCAGGTTGTCATTTTTGAAAATCCGCTCGCGCGTCGTTGAATATGGTGCATTGAACATCCCATCGCCCCATATTTACATATTATTCATATACATATAAAGTGGAAGCCGGAAAGGTGGAACATAATTATCGTCATGCCTGTACGCTAAAGTAGAAGGAATCCTAGCACTGATCATCCTAAACCAATGTTCCAACTTTCTGTCGTACGCTGTATGTATATGTGTATATATAAATATATACACAAACAGAAGCAACTAAATATATATATATATGTAGGTGTGTATATAAATGTATATACACAAATGAGTTTGTCTAATTAGCAACGCCGTCCTTTTTCAGAGCGCCCCACCCCTAAACCCTAAGCCCCAAACCTCTAAACCCGTAAACCCTAAACCCTAAACCCTAAACCCCTAAACCCTAAACCCTAAACCCTAAACCCCTAAACCCTAAACCCGCCCCACACAGGTGGGATTTGCATCCCTGGCAGCTCTTCGACACCGAGGGCCACCCAGCCCCTCAGCTCGGCAAAGCCCTTCTTAGCTCTTTTGAGCTTGGGTTTAGGGTTTAGGGTTTAGGGTTTAGGGTTTAGGGTTCAGGGTTCAGGGTTTAGGGTTTAGGGTTCAGGGTTTAGGGTTTAGGGTTTAGGGGGCTTCAGGTTTATATGGGGTCCTTAAACGGTCGAGCTGATGTTCAGAAGGAATGAGAGTAGTATACAGAAGCAGCAAAGGGATGTTTTCACAAATGAATCAGACCTGACCCATAAGGAGAATACTTAGCCTTTTGCTGACAGAGGTGTCATGAGAAGGCATTTGCTCCAGCTGACAAGTTCCCTAAACCCTAAACCCTAAACCCTAAACCCGAAAGAGTCGGAAAGGTCCAGAGTTCTTCAGCCAAGGGTCCTTCAAGGAGGATGTCTAGGGTTTAGGGATTAGGGTTTAGGGTTTAGGGTTTAGGGTTTAGGATTGGTTTACAATAAGCCCAAACCCTAAACCCTAAACCATAAACCCTATTAACCCCAAACCCCTAAACCCCTGAACCCTAAACCTAAAACACAAAGGTTCCGAAGCTTCAAGCCAACTCCTGCATTACCTTAAGAAAAGGACCCGAGAACTATGGGAACTATGGTATGTTTCCTCATTTCGGGGAACATAAATCCTGCATTACCTTAAGCTAAGGGCCCTAAACTAATATAGGGGGCCTTGATAATTAGGATAGGGTTTGGGGGTATGTTATACTATACTTATACTAAGGAAAGCCCCAAAACCCTATTCTATTTATTACGGACCCTAAACTATGCGAATCCTGGTATGTTCCCCTAAACCCTAAACCCTAAACCCTAAACCCTTAATTTGGGCACTGCAGGGTTTCTATCATCAACCCCGTATTTCGGAGTAGAGCCCGAAAGGAAGGGGGGGGGGAAAAGTAAGCATGGCTAGCGTCCCAACCTCCCTACAGAGCAGCCTCGGTTTAGGGTTTAGGGCAGTTTAAAGGGTTTAGGGATTAGGGTTTAGGACAGGGTATCCTGTCATGCGATAGACATGTAAATGGTACTTGGAGCCTTCTATAGGGGACAGGTAAAGAGGTCGCCAGGTCATCCATGGCCGTGCGGCAGTCACTGGGAGACCCACGTTGCATTCCTCTGCTGGCTGACTTTCCCAAAGGGGCCAAGTACCATTACAGTAGGTACTTAGTAGGTCTTTGGGCCCCAAGAGTATATTATACTATACTAGTCCTTTGGGAGGTAGTTCTAAAGCGCACGTCTGCAACTTTATCACGGGACACAACGCAGATGGCAATCACCTAGCAAATAACAAACCCCTGCAGCGGAACACGTGCAAGTTGAAGAAAAGTGTTATCATAGCCATGACTCTGCATATCAGCGCATGCTTGATGAGTGGGAGAACGGCTGACCTTGAGCTGCCACCAGACGCATCCGTTTCCGAGCTCCGTCGCCGAGCGCAGGAAGCACTGGGCGTGAACCTCAGCTCGGTGGTCTCCTCTGCGGGAGCGATCCTGCAAGACCAGGAGATTCTTGCTGAAGCCGTGCAAGATGGAGGGTCGGTAACCGTGCACACGCGTGCGAAGAGCCTCGCAGCCGCATCGATTGCACAGTTTGTGGCCATTTGCGGCAACGGTTCGGTGGAGTCCTACACCCCACACGTTCGCGCCTTCGTTTTAAGCCCTTGGGGCAGCTGTGAAGGATTGACAAATGTACAATGCATTCAAGCCTCCCATTCTGCCTTCGCTGCCATTCTGGGCGACGGATCTGTCGAGGTTTGGGGTTGGGTCTCGCACGTTGACGGAGGAGAAACGCAGCCGCAGTTCCAGCAGGTCAAAGATCAGCTTCAAAATGTTGTTCAGATACAAGCAAATTGCCGTGCCTTTGCTGCCATAAAGAGCGATGGGAGTGTGGTGACATGGGGGCATAGGGGTGTGACTCTGGAGGAGGACGAGGAGGAGAGCACGCAGCTCCAGCATGATCTCAAAGACGTTTCTCAGATCCAAGCTAACCACACAGCTTTTGCAGCTATAAAACAAGATGGATCTGTTGTTACTTGGGGCCATCCCGAAAACGGTGGAAATAGCGACATGGTCCAAGAGAAGCTCGTTCGGGTGCGCCAGATCCAGGCGACTTTCCATGCATTTGCCGCCCCTTAGATAGCCAATGGGAGAACTTTAAACTTTTTGGCTTTGTATATTAGGTCTATTCTAAAAAGTTTGAACTTTTTTGGGCCTGGTTGTTGAAGAAGAGAGGCCCTCAGGGAGGACGGGCACGTCGTGTCTTGGGGCGATTTGTGTGATGACAGTATGGTCCAGGACCAGCTCACAGACGTGCGCCAGATTCAAGCCTCTGGGGACGCTTTTGCGGCTCTTAAAGGAGACGGAACTGTCGTCGTATGGGGTGGCGAGGGTATGGAGGATGCATGGGACGAGGTGCAGGATGAGCTTACACAGGTGCATCAGATCCAGGCCACTGCTGATGCCTTTGCCGCGATCAGAGAAGACGGGTCTGTCGTGACTTGGGGCAGTGATGACTTTGGTGGCGACAGCAGCTGAGTTCCCCAATACCCAACCTTTAACCTTTTTGGGTTCTTAGAATCTAGTAGTAATCTGAAAGTTTAACCTTTTAGTTCCCCGGCTTATTGGAGAAGTAAGGCAGCCATGTGCAGGCACGCTTGAAAAATGTGCAGTGCATCCAGGCGGCTGTAGGCGAGTCCTTTGACGGCGGGCAGGGTTCCGGAGCCTTTGCTGCCGTCCTAAAGGATGGCAGCGTGGTGACTTGGGGCGACCGTTCTTGTGGTGGAGACAGCAGCAAAGTCCAGGAGCAGCTCGTCCATGTAGAGCATATCCAGGCCACTCTCTGTGCTTTCGCCGCACTCCGAGAGGATGGCACTGTCGTGACCTGGGGCCACAGAGACTATGGTGGGGACAGCTCAAGAGTTCAGGAACGCTTGAGGCATGTGAAGCACATCCAAGCTTCGGAAACCGCCTTTGCGGCCATCCTGGACGATGAGACTGTGGTCACCTGGAGTTTCGAGGATACCCATGAGGATGAAGGCGAGGAGGAGGAGGAGGAGGTCATGTTGGAAGAATCTCCGGAGGAAGAGCAGCTAGATGATGATGAAGACTGGATGGAGGAACCGGGGGAGGGGGAGGAGGAGGAGGGACAGGAGGAGGAGGAAGAGGAGCAGGAGGAGGTGTCACCTGCGCCTGTGAGGAAGTCTCGCCGGTTGCGCCTGTAAAGATGGCAAAATGTCGTCAAGCTCCTCCAAATTCTGACATAGAGCTTTTCCGCAGGGGCGATTGGGAATACATGTTCAGCGACTAGAAGCCCGGACAGGTGCAAACTGCCGAGGCAGCCAGCCGAGCTTCGCTGCTGCTCCTTTTCGAGGGAGGTGATGCTTGGACTATTGCTGCTAGGGATTTTGGATTAGGGTACAGGGTTATATGTTTAGCCAGACAGGGTTCTAGGGCCAGTGTCTGGAAGTAAAGGTCAGACGTTTAGGCGTCCATATGCTGTGGCCGTCACTATTGTTTCATTCTTCTGCGGGTGTTACTATCATGGCCAGTCCTACCAAACACTGTGATGCTCCTACGACCGCTGCTATTTCTCCGAATGTCGTTGTTTTCAATTTCTGTCACTGACCCTAACCCTCCAGGTACCTACTATATAGGGCCCTAGGGGCTCCAGTACCGTATATAGTAGGTACCTGGGGGGGTTAGGGTCAGTTCTTACAACGACGAAGTTTCAAGGGCAGGCAGAGCAATGTGGAAGAGCGCCTGCATCTACCAATGTCCATTGCAGCAGTTGAAGAACCAAGGGTAGTAGAGCCTCTTGTTTAATGTAGGGGCTTTAAAAATTAGAACAGGGTTTTGGGGTCTATTATACTATAATTAAATAAGGAATCCTCAAAATTAACATACCGAAAGCAGGGGATGATATGATTCCTCAAAGGCTCTCAATAGATTTCTAGGAATGAAGGGGCCGGACTACCGAATGATAACCATTGTTCATGAGGGGTCCAGATATGCGTATTGCAGTACGAACTCAAGACCCTTTAGTCCCTCATCTCACATGCAACCATACTTCCTTCAGCACTGCTTCGAGCTTGAGGTGCACATCAAAGCTTCCGAGATAGCTAGGCTCTTTCCGGATCGTCCCGGCCCTACCTTAAGAACCCCAAACCCACTTTTCTGTAGGCTCTGATTATAAACCTTAATATGGGATTTATATGGGCCCTACAAAAAAGTAGGTTTTGGGTTCTTAAGGTAAACCCTAAACCCTAGATATCCCAAGGAGTTTCAGTACCCTGCAGTGCACCTGGGCTTCCGGCGCAGCGTTGCCTTGGGCGTGGGGGCGCGGGTGGCGGAGCTCCGCACTCTCTCACTGAGACCAGTAACCTGGCATACTATACGGGGACTAAGGGAACCTTTTAGGGTTTTAGGGTTTAGGGTTTAGGGACGGTTTAGAGTTTAGGGTTTAGGGTTTAGGGTTTAGGGAGGGTCGGGAGACTTAGTAAGTAGGTAATAAGTAGACTTATAAGTACCCTAAAGGGACCCTAATTGGGGTTATAGTACTTATAAGTCTATAGAATAAGCGTTTACTAAGTCCCCCGACCCTCCAAGTAGGGGCCTA